GGCTCTCTAGCTTAGTCTTAGACATCCCACCCGGGGAACAAGAGGGAAGGAACCACAGGTCTCCATCTCCGAACTATTTTCCCAAGACATCAGGCCCTCTACCAACCATCCTTTCCACTAGTTACTCGTGAAGTCTCACTCCTTCCTTGCAAATAGTTAAAAATTCTTAAAATGACACTCAAATACATCCTATTTAAGGGAATACCAGTTTATTTTCTTAGAAAGTTTTCTTATAACAAAATGGACCCCACTTGTCCTTTATTAAAAGTACAAGTTTATTTGTGATTGTCTTACTTCTTACTAGCTCTTTATGAGCAAAGATTGTATCTAATTTAATCTGGCTTCCCAGTGCCTGGAAAAGTGTGCTGCATAAAGGGACTTAATCAATGTCTGAATTGAATATCTTCAGCTGAATATGATCTCACTTTCCTCAGATCTATCATACCAACCTACCCCTTTCTAGACTTTCCTTTACACTCCCCAACTTGATATTACATTTCGAATATATCTTGTCATTTGCACTGCTCCTCATCTCTTGCTCCATGCTATACTCTTACTGAATTGGATTTCAAAAAGGTAATTTGTGTGGCACTATTAGTATAGTGGGTAAGGTTATGCAAATTTTAATGTGTCATACTTGGTTTATCAATTTTCAAATAATAATACCACAAAATCTATTTAACTTTAGAAGTACAGTGAATATCATTTTCTCTGATGATTCAGAGAGACCTTTCAGATCTTATAGGGGTTCTTCAGTGTTACTGTGTCATGGGCATCTTTTGCATGCTCACAATGATAGAGCCCATACCTTTCCTCAAAATAATGTATCTAATTGTGTAAAACAAAATACATAGGATTCCAAGGAAACCAATAATATTTTAAGTTGTTAAAATATTAAAAAAACAAGTTCACAGACCCCAAATTAAGAACCCCTATTATAGGATCTGAAGGCAATCATTATGGCTATATGAATTTTATAGTTTTGAATATTGAATTAATGGAAGTTTTCATTTTAGACAGGACTAAAATAAAGTATTAACTTTCACTAAACAAAATTAGTTGCAAAAGACCACATATGAGACTGAATACAGAAATATTAAAAAATGTTACAAAACAGTTTTCTTTCTCCACACTGGACAGGTGGTCTGGAAGCAGCAACTGGATCAATGAGTTAATTGACAAACTTACTACTAGAAGTAATGTTTTAGAAAAGAATATATAAAACATTTGACAAAATTAACTTATCTATGAACCAAAACTATTAATAGTGCAGGTGACAATTCAATCACTGAACCACTCTGTTGGCAAAAAGTTGGTTGTATTCTGATTTTAGAGGTGATTAGGTGGCACAGGAGTTGGGGTACTGGATTTGAAGTTCAGAAGGCCTGAATTCAAATCCTACCTCAGACAATGTGTGATCCTGGACAAGATATTTAACCTCTCTCAGTCTCAGTTTCTTCACCTGTGAAGTGGAGAAAATAATAGCACCTACTTCACAAAGTTGTTCTGGAGATCAAATGAATTAACATCTGTAAAGTGCTTTACAAACATTAAGGTGCTATAAAAATACTAGCCATTATTATTATTCATGCACAAGGAAATTGAGAATATAGCTGGGGAGTCAATGAATGGCTCCATGTATACCATTATGTATCCAATTACAACAGAAGTGGAAGCCCTAGATCCAGGGGAAGTAGAAGCTTGGGTTTAGAGTTAGGAA